AGAGAGAGAGCGAGAGAGAGAGAGGAAGGAAGGAAGGAAGGGAGGCAGTAATGGGACCCAGCTTTGAGGGGTTTGGCAGAGTCCCCAGAAATTTCTTCAATCCTCATCGTCCAGAAAAGCGAGCATGAGATGCCAGTTAGAGCCGCTCGAACCCGACAGAGCCCCAATCGCAAAGTTGACCAGCCTCATTCCGGGAAGGCGAGTTGGTAAGTCGCTCCCGAAGCCTTGCCGTAGCCTAAATTTGCTAAGCATTTCCACATCGAGGAGCTCAAATTTTCGAACGGTGGCGGTGGCGCACGTCGTCAGGCCTCTCCATCAAGCTCATTTTCTAGGATTTGTTCGATGTTGTGGAGCTTTCTGATGAGTTCTCATGATTTGAGTTTAGGGTTTTGGGGTTTAGGGTGTCATAGAGGCTAGGGCTTGAGGTTTAGGGTTGAGGATTTATAGGGCTCGCATTTCAGGATCTGAGCGTCAACTTGTACCCCAGGTTTGGGGTTCGGGGGTTTTAAGGCTTCCTGCTCTAAACCCCACGCCCTGGCGTCTGACGTGTGCTGCCTTGCGATCTGGGGGAGACGGAACCCTATGCTGTAAAGCCTTACACACACACATCCTCAGCTAGCGGGACTCGCGCTTTTCAGGAAGTGCGTTAATGAAGTTAGCATAACAGGGAGACTATGGTAATTGTCTGGCTGTCCTTCTTTTTAGGCCTCTACCCTAAATCCTAGGCCCTCAGGAAAGGGACCTCAAAATCTCTCAAGCCCAGAAATCCACGGAAGCTACCAAGAGGCCATCGATGACTTTGAGACCCACCTGGGAGAAGCTACAGAGCTGCTTGGGCTTAGAGTTGAGAGATGGTTCCCCGGGAGCTCAAGGGTTCATTGATGGGATCCATCGGGGCTTCTAGAAGGGGTACCATAATCGGGTTCCATAAAAGGGATCTCTAAGGGCTTCTAGGCTTGAGGGTGGAGGGTTGAAGACGACATGAGCGACATCTGCGCATGGCTCGTTGTGTAGACCCTGAGCCTGACACTTAAACTCACTTGCTATGAATGAGCTTGGTTTCAAGTTTGCTGGTGTCTTGTGAAGAGCTTAAGATTCCAGCTTGCCGAACACCCAAAGTCCGTGCTGAAAAAGGGTGGAGGGTTTAGGGGGGCGTTGGGGGTTATTTGGCGATTGGCATTGCTTCTTCAGGCCTGTCGTTCGATCCTTGGAGTTTGGGAGGTCACCAGGTCACTTCTTGTTCTGGTTTACGGTCTAGGGTAAAGGGCAGTTTTGGGAGGGTAGAGGCTTCGGGAGCATTGCATGGGCTTTTGTGACTCCAATAGGCATTTACTGCTATCCTGGCTGTCATGACGAGACCATCAGCGAAACTATTTCGAGCACTTGGTGTTGGGTGATGTATTTGTTTATCCTCGCCTTGGCATGCTGATGTTGCATGTCCGCATGGTGCCACAGAGGGCGCAGGTCCAGCGTTTTCAATAAAAGGGTCTGCCTGGAACTCCCTGCTGGTTGACACGCGCTTGTAATCAGTCACAAAAGTTTAGCATGAGACTGCCATGGCAGAATATTGAAGACTGAGCGATGATGAGCGAGTCCAAAGATTCATGCACGAAGTCTTAAAGAAGTGCCGGAACCCGAGATGATACCAATTTGCAAACTACCCCCGGCCGCAGACTCCAGCTCCCACACCCTACACCACTTCGGATAGGTGTGAATGACTCTGTGAGCTCAGGAAGTGCGAGCGCAACCGTGGCAAGTATGAGCGCCTGGCTCGGTGTCCCGGCTCCCGTTTCAAACCGATGTTGACACGGTAGAGAGGTCGTTTATC